TGTTAGGCAAATCATGCTGCAACTCAGTAACAGACACATTTTCCAAATTGCTATTGGCCGGTAGTTAAACCGATCGAAAACATCAGCTCAAAATCGTTATTAAAAATCAAACGCATTAGATAGCGCACTGACAAGGGAAGGTCGTTTGGGTCAGGTGTCAAATCGGCTTGAAATTTTGCCAGCGGATAGAAAATCAAAAATAAAGTGGAGTTTCTTAATCTCATTTTTTGCACAATGCCCCAAATTAAAAAGTTAGAGGCCTTTGAAGTTACATAAAAAAAACATGAAACGACCCGACAGTTCTGACCTGGTCCTTATGGTGGTCTACCCCCTTTTCAAGCTCTTGCGTCGCCCGGACTGGCAAGCTGTTTGGCGCAGTAGGCAGTGCCGTAGAATGCGAAACTTTTTAAATTTTTGTAATCGAGTTCAAGTTTTTGATGCGTCCAACTTTTTGCTTTTTGGATTTTGCGCCAGATAACCCTAATTTGCAGGAGCAAAAAGCAAAAAGCAAAAAGATAAAAAAGTTTTAGTCTCGAACTTTTGCCAAAAGGTTTTGAAAAGATTCTGAGTCAAGCGCACTACCGATTGCGCTACAAGAGACGGGGGAGTGGAGACGAGAGAGAATCAAGAAACCACCCAGGCAGAAATTGTGGAAACGGTGTGGTATTGGTGCAAAACCGGTGCAGAACCCATTTTTGGGACCACCAACCTAAAATGCTTATAACTTTTTAATTAGGGGTATTGTGCAGAAAACGACTTAGCGCACCTTGTTCCGTTTTCAATTCTCTACCAACTGGCAAATTTTCAGAATGATTTGACGCCTGACCCAAACGACCTTCCCTTGTGAGAGTGCTTCATTTTGAGACCCTTCATGTCGCCCTAGCGATCAAAAGTTCCATGATTCCCTCTTCGAAGTTTTCTACTTTTTCGAAAAAGTTGAAAAAATGTCCAACAAGTATGTGTTCTGAAAAGCATCTTGTGTTTCTTCTGCATATCCAGCATATTTAAGCATTCTGGCAAGGTGAAGATGGACCGATTCGTTTCCATTAGCGAGATATTTTTATGCAAACTGCGGGATTTTTTTCTGTACACCCTGTAAAAAGCAGTGTTTTTGGTGTAATTTCCCATGTTTTTAAGACGCCGATCGAGCTAGAGGTAATGAAAGGGTCGTTCTCTTTCTTGGTGGAAACGTGGCGCGCACCGGAGATGTTCAATTGGCTATACGGGACCGGGTTGACCGCTGAGACAATTGTGGGTTCAATAATGTCGTTTTGGGTATCATTTTTCCACCCTATTTAGGTGGTCGATCATTATGGCGATCCAGCCGAGCCGGAAACTCATCAGGACCTAATTGAATCGTTTCAGTTGGTGGGATTTTACGGGAATTGGAATGGAATTTTGCAAAAGCATTTTACAGGCGGCGTCCGCTTCTCGCATTCTAATTTTGCTCCTGAGTCCTGAGATCGGTTCACAACTGGCTGATACCCAAGACATTTTGCAGATGGCCTGGGAAGTAAGGTTCATAGGGAAGGCTAACAAAGAGTGCTTTTTTTGAGTCATCGGCAAAACCTTACGAGACCCAGCTCATTCGATAGAGAATTCGATTCTGAACAAAACCCCGTTGTTCTTTTTTTGCAGAATGGCTATCCCTGATTTTATAAAATTAAACAACTAGTGAGCGTTCTTACCATGAGTGCCTTTCGAGCCAAAAGAGAGGCTTTTGGGTGCAGTTTTAACATTTTATAAAATCAGGGAAAGCCTTTCTGCAAAAAACAACAACGGGGTTAGGTTCAGAATCGAATTCTTTATCGAATGAGCTAGGTCTCGTAAGGTTTTGCCGATGACTCAAAAAAAGCATTCCTTTTAAGGAACGGAGGGAGGAATAGAGCTAAAGGAAAATAGGCTTTTTTCAGAGTCCACCAACTGACGGCCAATTTCGAGAGGTACGCATACAATTCAAGGTCGAAGACTCGACACTACCGCAGGTACGAGAAATAAATTCGATCGCTCTGATCGCTAAATTTTGCTACAATTCTTTTTGGAAATACGGGAGAGGGAGTTGGGAGAGAGAGCGAGAGAAAAGAGAGAGAGGCGGAGAGACAGAGAAATACGCAGAGGGAGAGAGAGAGAGAGAGAGAGAGAGAGAGAGAGGGAGAGAGAGCTAGAGAGTTTCCCCCACATCATAATGTCGACTTATAACACCTTGCATTTTCAGGACGATGCTGCACTCCTAAAAATCTTACAAACAAATTGCCTTCGAACGAACAACTTCCCCGTTCATTGCTTGACCGTCATTATCAAGCCGAGGAAAGTCGCGCAATTCTCCTTCGTCCAAAATCGGCCATCTTGCGGTCGGCAAAAGTCGGATCCTGATTTATTCTTCCTTTCTCTTCCAAAGCGCTTTCACGGTAAAGATACTCATGAAATTTGAGTTGCAAGTTTGTGCAATAAATCGGTTTTCCGCAACACAATGCGATAACTCGCACTAATATCGTCGATTAATTTTGATCACGTACAAATTTTCATTTTTATGATCCCACATCATGATCCAATCATGCACACCGACATGCAAACACTATTTTCATGCTGGAGATGGTTTTCCATAAATTCTAACGCACAAAAAACTGATAAAATATGACCTTCGATTTCTTCCTCTTTTCATTTAGGATATTGCGGGATTTTACTACATACAATCACGGCTCAAACACTTTGTAAACCATCTCGAGGCATATCTGGAATTCTTGGGGCAAATTCAGTTTTCGCCATTCATAATGCTTTTCGGATATTTTGTTTATATTTTGGCTCATAAGAAACAGAGAAAATAATTCGGAAAATAACAGTATCCTCGGACCGAATGTTTTTGTATAAGTGTAGAAACGCCGAATGAATTAACAGTAGAAAGTGTTTTACGTGTTTTTAACAATATAATACTATTAAACTTCTGGCCAAAATCGGCCATTTTTGGTATACTTAAATAAACACATAAAAGCATCGGAAATGATAAAAATAGTTTAAAGAGGCTTCCGCGATTCATGTTTCAAAACTTGAATCCTCAAAAAGTTGGGTTGCCTCGATAGACCCCCCCGATAATGCGAAAGAACCTCATTTGGCGCCCATTTGTCATAATCATAACGGGATGAAAAACCTTAATCGACTGACAACGCGAATTTATTTATTCAGTATGGTACACAAAGTCGCGGATTCCCTGCTGGCCTTCGTCTCTCGAAATTTCTGACCGATCGGGGGTGGTGATTTTGATGCGTCTCCAGTCGAAGTAAGTCGTCGGAATGCTTACGATGAGAACGTCTCCATCAATACGTCGGACGCGATAGAAGGTGACCAGATACGTGGGCACATTGAGGCTTGGGTACTGTTCGAAGAAAGCAAGATTATCCCCGCGAACCAGAGCCTCGTCACCGCCCACCTTGATCGAAAGGACTTGGCGTTCGCCCTTCAGCCATTCCTCGACAACCATCTGTGCGTATTCTGGAGCAGATAGGCCGGGTAACGCAACGGGTTCTACCGACATTTCTGGCACCTTTAGCTTTAGGTATACTGGGTGAGGTGGATAGCGACGCCAAGCCATTATGAGGGCAATGGTCGATTCATTCAGCCAGCCGATCAATTCTGACGTAAGGTTTTCTGGGCCATCAAAGCAGACCATTTCGTATTTTTTAGTCGATTTGTAGCGCTTTAGAATCGGCACGGCCACATCTTCACCTATCACGCCTATTCCCCTGCACCGCAGGTCGATGTCTTGGGGAATGGGAGCTCGTAGCTCCAGGGCTTTCACGGTGGTATGATGGAACAGCAATCGGAAGGTGTCCATGTTGTTGATGACAAGACCGCTCAAACGAGCGAACGAGCCGAAGCATATTTTGTACCAGTCCGTATCCCTACCCATTAGATTCACATCCCAATGCTTGTCCCGGCAACTTTTAGCCACCTCCCACATCGACTTGCTTGTGGCGGCCGACTTGAAGAAGCTTTTGATGTCCATATTGCGGAGGATATTGTGTTGAACTAGGATCGGGAACGCGCTGAAGTCCATGACCTGAAATGTCGGCTTATAGGAATGGAATATTTCCCGAAGACGCGGAAAGAAAACGGAAAATTAAGAGCGATTTGCCAGGTAGGCAAAGGGGATACAGACAGATAGATATAGAAAGAGGCGGGAGAAACAGAGAGAGAAGGAGGGGGGGGGGGGGGGGGGGGAAAGAGAGAGAGAGAGAGAGAGAGAGAGAGAGAGAGAGAGAGGGATCGTAATTTAGGTCCCCTTTCATGACCCCCAACACCCATTCGCACTGCCGCAAATCACAAGGCAGACTCAGGCAATTACATGCGAATTCAAATGACATCTGACATGGCCTTTCCCGCCTCCGTGACCGGCCGGAAATTATGTATTCAACTTCGCGCTGATCGAAGGCATCTGCGTAGCCTGGGGTTACATTTCATGGGGGATTTTCAAGCTTTCAGAAATGTCCAAAATATTTTTGTAACTTTACAACAATCAAGAACTGGTAAAAACACTTAAAATACCTGCTATATCTTCAACGGTTAGGCATAGGTGGTAAAACAGAAGGTGGTTTTCCCCTTACTAAAAATCCTCCCCCGCTAACGGTCCTGTACACATATTTCGTCTAAGTGCTGTGTGTTTCAATTGTTTGTGTGATACTCTGTATCTGAATTCTGAAAAAAGCTTAGGATTAGGCTTGGTTTTAGGCGTAGGCTTGACCCAGGTGAGACTTAGCCTTGGTTGCGCCTAGGCTTAGGCTTCGTGCTAGGTTTATCTATTTAGCTTCGGATTATGTCTGGGCGAAGGCTTGAGCTTGGCTTTAGGCTGGGGCTTAGGCCAGACCTAAGCTTAGGCTAGGCTTGGGGCTGGCTTAGATTTTGATTTCGCTTATATTTAGGCTTGGACTTGGCTTCGCTTAGGCTTAGCTTCCAACCATAAAAACAACCAAACGTATTTATCTCCAAAAATGAATTCGGAAAAATCAATCATCATCAAGTCGTTCGAAGCGCAGCGGGACGCGACTGATCATCAGTGGGCGCTCGCTTTTCAGTTTGCGGCTCCAGAATTTGCGGCTTTGGTAGGGGGAATTCTGGATCAAGGAGTAGTGGACACGCAGTGCCCGTCCCTTCCAGTTGCTCATCCCGATCGAGCAGAAATCGTTGGGTCCTGGGCGATGCCCGTACGGGTTCACTTCAAACAGCATTTGTTGGAGGCCGGCTTGATCCTGAAAAAAATCCTGAATCCCAAAATTTTCGATATTTCGCTATTTTCGGTATTTTTCGACGCCATTCTGGAGAAAATGGAAAATATTTGTAAAAAATTTTCATAAAAATCAAATATTTAAAATCCCGACAGCAATAATCCCGACAACCAAAATCCCGACAATCAAAATCCCGACAATCAAAATCCCGATAACCAAGAATCCCGACGGAGCAAAATCCCGACAAACAAAATCCCAACAACCAAAATTTCGACAGCAACAATCCCGATTTAGCAAAATACCGACGTGCAAAGTAGCTGTCTGAAGGAAAATGGCATTCAACTAACTTCAAAAATGTTTCGAGATTTCGGCTATCTGGATTTTTGATGTCGGTATTTTGGTTTTGGTGTTTGGTGGTTTTGATACATCGGAATCGTGGCTTTCGGGATTGTAGATGTCGAGCTTTCGGGTCTGGACTTTGGCTATCCTGATTTAGGACTGCCAGAAGTCTGGCTGTCGGGATTTTCGCTTAGCGGAAGTGGGGCTGAATGTTGTACAACGAACCTGCAGCAGCTCCTCATTTTTGACCAGATATTCAATTTGGGTGGTGCGCGGTTTGCCCTCAGGCGGCGGGGTCTGAAAAATAATATGTTGGGTATCAATTATAATTTAAAGTTGAATTTTAAGCCCTAAAACCGCATACCTTCATCGCCTTTTCAACGATATGGTAAGCCTCGTCAAAGGGCACGTCGTCTTCCTCGACGACCAGCAGCTTGAAGAACAGGAAACGGGCGGAAGCCAGCTGAAAATAATCGGGCTATGACCTGATTTCTATAAATTTTTCTTTAAAGTTTGGGTTCACGTTTAATTCTCTATTTTTGCCCTTGTTAACGAAATACCTACCAAGGCGTAGGTGGCCGGTAGCTGGATCTCGGCCGCCGCATAGGTCTCGTCGCACACGTGAAATATCAGCTAAATCGAATCTTTTCAGTCAATAAAAAAGCAATTTAATGGCGGTGCAAAATAATGTTTAAGCTGATTTTCTTTGAAAATGACTAAATTTGATAACATCGAGATTAAAAATGCCGAAAAATAGTCGAAACTTCATAGCGACGAAATTCTGAATTTCGAAATGCATAAAGTAGCAACATCATATTGTTGAACTCTAGAACGTTGAAGCTGCAAATGTTAAAATTGATAATGCCGAAATTTCGCATGCCCCAAATTTCACAATATCGACATTTTTAGCAAACTATTCTGGTAATTCCCGGCAGATTTGTCTATGGATAACCGTGACATTCTAAAATTTCGGCATTAAGAAACTGCAAGGTTTTGAAATTTCGATATTATGAAATTTCCACGTCATGGATTTCGTTATTCCGATAGCAGAGGGTTTAACTTACAAAAGTATCGGTGTCCAAGCCGACTTTCGACAGCCAATCCACCGTTTCCTGGGCCCGGCGGGTTTCGACGACCATGGTGAAGGGCTTTGTTAGCAGGTCGAGGGCAGTCGGGTTCTGAAAAGTTACATAAGAAAAGTTTAAAAACGTGGTAGATCAGTCGAAAAAACGCAATTCCGCTGTAGTGATACCGTGGTTCCCCGTTGAGCTACAAGTGTGTGAAGCATACCAAACCGTTCGTCTTGGCCGGGCGATTATTTTGGTATATTTTACACACCTGTCGACCCATGGAGAGCCGTGATATAAAGGGATATAATGGTGACTCACGGTGCCATAGCCATCCCTTGAGACGTAAAGCGCTAGGGCGCGTGGCTCCACCCATCGGAGCAAATTGTTGAAAACCCGCATCGCGCTGTCGGCATTAGCCGGAAACTCGCCAGAAACACATTGTATTTGTTGTTCTGCGTTCCTAAAATTTGTAAGGTAGGACTAGAAATCGTATTTCTCGAAAAACCGTCAAAACCTGATCTTTTAGATGGGAAATCGTCCCAAAAGCGAAAAATTGACGCAATTATAAAATAAGCTACGCTGCTTTAACTTTACGTACTTATCCAAGAAAGGCACATCCGCGTCATAGGGAACATCTCGGAGTCCACGAATCGTAGATCGAGCCGGTGTCCACACGATTTGGAACTGGTCTTCGGCGCTCGCCAATTCGACCAGGAGCGTCTAAAAAAGGAGTCTAAAAAAGGAGCTCTTCCCGTATAATTTAGGAACATGTCATTTGCTGGCCAATTTTTGTCATCTAGCAAAGTATGAAAACATCAATTACGCAATTGCCATCAGATAACGTACCCCATTCGCATCGGCCAAAACAGTCGCCTCAAAAATGTCGCGGAACGGTAGGCCGACGGACTTGTTGCACATCATTGTACGTCGCTAAAGATAGATTTTATAATGTCGAGACATAAATACATTGAAAAGGCTTTCGAGCTTTAAAAGTTGTCTTCAAATCCGAAATTTTGCTAGGAAATTGAGCTTTTTGCCGAAACACTATTACTTTGTGTCTTCGTTTTGTGTTTTATAGACTTTTTGTAAAGGCGATACGCTTAGAAATAGTAAAAGCAACTTTACAAACACTCACTCTGTCCAAAACCTAAATTCTAGCGACAAAATCGGATTCTCACTTTAAAATCAAAATCGGTAGGCTTCTAGAAAGGCCATTATATATGAAAGGCTCAAGAAGGCGAAATAAACAAAAGAAACCTTGGTAGCGTTTCGTAGCCTCCATTTGTCCATAAATCCCAGCCGCGCGCATGTGACTTGTTGCAGTTTTGGTGGCAGTTCGGTGAAGCGAAACGGCTGCACGCCAGCAGCAGGCTCAGCGTCTTGATGGCCGGTTTCCGGCTGGGTAGTTCCCGGCTTGCGCGATCGAATATAGGAGAGCATGGAGCCCATGGTGTTTCATTTGCTGTCGGTTAGCACTAAATTACGTGTTTGTTCTCCTAACTTCTAGGGCGCAGATGTGCGCTAGGTCATTTCGAACCGTTAGTGCGGGCCCGACTTTGGCACGCTGCCGATTTATTCACAGCAAAAATCGATTCAGAAGAAAGATGGCATAATCGCGATGAGGAGGGCGATGGCGGGGTACATGGTGAAGATGGCGGATGAGTCACTGGAGGCATCTTCGGCCCTCATCACGCCCGCCTTCAACTCCCAGAGTTGCAACTTGTTGCAGCGCTCACTCTCGCAGGCGTGGAACCAGGTGGCTGAAAATAACGTTCTCGATTCGGCTGGATACACGCAAAAACGGTTTTATACTTGCTTTCCCATTTTTAATCGGGATAAACCTACAGCCATTAACGACTCGACGTCCGGTCTCCCAATTCTCCAGGTACTTTGGCGGGGCACAGTTCCGGATGTGCATGAAACCGACAAGGCCGGAATCGACGAACGCGTAGATGCACTTGTTGCCCGGGCACGTCTTCGTCGTTTCCTATATTCTCTTCAAACCATCGCTGATCGTATGTCTACCGCGATGACCTTGCAGTCCTCGCTGATGGTCATGTTACCGTGAAGATCAAAATAACTAAAGAACATCAACATCCATATTCAATTCCAACATAATCCAATCCACAAATCATCATCATTCCACAAAATCCAACACCCACAGTCCTTTCCGAAATCCGCCCCGCAAACATTTGCTCCCGCGTAAAATAGAAAAGTACCTAGTGTACAAATCCGGCATGAGAGCTACTGCTCCCTCAGTGCACTGGTAGCAGTCGGCGGCTACGTCGCGTAGGCAGTACCCGAGCAGACAGGTAAGCACAGGAAGAACCGGAACACGGGCCGACATCGCGAAAAACTGCGCTAAGAATTCGCGTAGCCAGCCGCATTTATGCGTTCGATGCAAATTTCCGGCAGCCGAACAAAGAGTTTACAACACGCAACAAAGCCAACCCACTGCAATAAGCGCCATTCCGCCACCTACGCACCCGTGCTAAGTCGAATCTGTTTATTCAAGAAATTTCAACAACAGTAACAAAACACGTACAAACATGATTAGAGGCGGCGTCCGCGGTGACCTCCCTTCCTTCGGGTGCTGTCGGACGGGATTGGGGTGACGTCTTCGATGCGGCCGATCTTGATTCCACTTCGGGCGAGGGCGCGCAGGGCGGATTGGGCTCCTGGTCCGGGCGACTTGGTGCGCGTGCCGCCGGTGGCTCGGATCTTGATGTGGAGCGCGTTGATGCCGAGCTAAAAAAACAAAGTATAGAATGGATCCAGGCACCGAAAAAAATAGCCTAACACGCACCATTGAACGCATACGCAAGCAAAGCCGTTCATCAAAAAGTACCTGTTTGCAGCGTTCTGAAACGTCTTGGGCGGCGAGCATAGCAGCGTAGGGCGACGACTCGTCACGGTCGGCCTTCACTTTCATTCCACCAGTGACCCGCACGATCGTTTCGCGGCCTAAGTCAGAATATCAATGAATGAACACAATAAATTACCGGAAATATCGGTGACGTGGACGAAGGTGTCGTTGAACGAGGCGAAGATGTGCGCGACGCCGAAGACGTTCTCACCCTCGCGCGCCTGCGGGCCCAGGGCGACGACGGGCTGCTCCTCCTTGGTCTTGCCCTTGCGTGCTGGCGCCATCTTCTTTCGTCTAAATGAAAGCTGTAAAAATTTTTCCGCAAAGTAGCGCCGAATATCGGAGATATTGACCGGAAACCAATCCAGTAATAAAGATAAGGGCAATGGTTGAAGACCATGACTTTATTCAAAGGACAGTCAAAAGATCAACAAGTATTTATTCGCAACACAAAACAACAATTTAAAACGGGTATTTGTCGGTTTCACCATTGGTTGACCGCGGGGGCTTGTCCCCATTCTTGACCGGCCGGCTGGCCATTCCAGTTGTCGGCGTTGGCCTCGGCCGCCCAGTCCTTGATATCCGGGGCAGCGGTGAAGTCGAGTGGAACCTCGGTGGTGATGGCTTCTTGCTGGCCGGTCTCGAATTCTTCGGCGGCTTGCTCCTTCTCGATCTCGGCTGGGTCGCGGAAGAAGTAGAGATCCGGCATGATCTCGGTGTTCTCGATCAGGAACGGTCCATCACGAGACACCTTGCCACGTAGGATGAGCACCTCGCGAGCGAGCAGCCACCACATCAGACCAACAGCCTGCGCGGCCTAAAAGGAAACTAAAAACAATTCTATGCAAGGTTACCTTGTTATTGCACGGAATGGCGATGTCGATCAACTTCAACGGCGAATCCGAGTTGGTGAACGCGATGATCGGCACGTTCGCGTACGAAGCTTCCGTGACGACCTAACAAATACAATTATGAAACATAAAAAAAGCTTTTTGAATACCTGATGGTCAATTCGCGGGTCGGAGATGATGATAATGCGCGGCTCCTTGAAGTTCTTCTGGATTTGATTGGTGAGCGCGCCCGGGGCGAAACGGCCGAAGACCGGGGTGGCTCCTGTGTGCGCAGCATACTTCATCAGGGCTCGGTGGGCGAATTGACGGGCCGAGACGACGATCACATCAGCTGGGTTCTCGACGGCTGCGATGGCACGGGCGGCCAGCAGCAGCTTCTCCCAGGTTTGCTTCAAGTTGATGATGTGGGTGCCTGGAAAAAAAAATTCAAAAAGGATGGCGGCACAGGCAAAAATCCATAGAGCCAGCTTTGGTAGCCCTCCAAACAGCTGCTGCCAAGAAATCCAAAAAAACTGACCATCAGCGCGTCGTGCGTAGATGTACTGCTCCATTTGGTGGTCGACGTTCGTGGTGCCGATGTGCGTGTAGGTCGCGAGCAGCCTCACCACGTCATCCTGCGCCAGGCTCGAGCTTTCGTATCCGCCGGACATTGCTGAAATGTGGAAAATTATAAAACGAAAAAAGAAAACAAATAAAGCAAGGAAGGACACACAATTTGGAGGCGTGCAACAAAGCAGCAATAGGGGAAAAGAGCAAGGGAGAGGCGCCCAAGAGATGCGAAAAGCCAAAGGCAAAAAAGACACCAAAGCCAAAAAAGAAAAAAACCAGCGAAAAGAGAAGCTAAAAGCGAAAAAGGGAAAGGGTGAAGCGCGGAGAAACGAAAAAGAAAAGGTGAAGCGCGCAGAAATAAAAAAAAACGATCAAGCTTCAGAACGTCGGAAAATTCAAATTTAGGCGGAAAATTCGAGGCGTGGGCTGGGAGGCGGCTACCGTATGAAAGTCCACGATATTGAGGGCCAGGCGGGGGCGGAAGGAGTATTGTCTCGGAATCCTTTTCTGATAAAAATAAATTCGAAATAAATATAAAAAAAGTAAAAATAACTAAATAAAAATCAAACAATGTAGATAGCTAGGGCAGTGCATCTGTTTGGCAATGCGGTGGGGCTGTGTCGGGCGCTGGGCCCGGGTTGCGACGAATTTTTTCGAAGTACTCTTTCGGTTCAAAGGCCTTTTCCAAGGGCCGTGTTTTCATACGAAAAATGCTGTTTTAGCTGTGTGATCGTTTTCGGCTCTAAAAATTAGCACCGATAAAATTTATTATGTTAACTGTTTTATAAAACGGAAATTTATTCGAACAGCAAGAAAAATGCGGAAAAACCAAAACATAAGTACAAGTTTCGGAAATTGGAGAAAATATGGATTGTGGGAGCGGCTTATTCAGATTCATCCGATGAGTGAACCACCCTGCGGTGCTTGCGACTGGTCGAGGGTTGATTTGAGTCTGAAAATATTTGTTTTTTTGCGGTTTTTTTGGTGTGCTAGGTCAACTCTTATAAGCCTAGAAATTAACTGACCGTCCTCGCTTTCAATCTCACTGTCTTTCTGTTGCATAGCCGGGTCTTGGTTTTCTAAAACTCGTAAACTAGAATTCCATTGATTAGACTTACCGCTATCATCCTCGGAATCGTCGTCGAATTTAGCCTTTCGGCTAGCTTTCTTTAAGCTTTTCTGGAGGCGTGCGCTCCTTCTTGGGGGCCTCTCTTTGCGTGGTACTACTTCCTCGTCCCCTAAAAACGTAACTGAATCCGGGCTGTAGATACTGTCAGTAGCAGGCTGGACATAATCCGGGTCCTCATACTGGTACTGGCCATCAGCGGTCGTCTCTTTGTAGCGGTCTACAATATACAACTGTTTTGTTGCTATGTACTGCCTGGTAGAACGGCATCGATATGCTGAAACTTACTATTGGCTTCCCGTTCTTCGTCGTCGTCGGTGTCATCTGATCCCAAATACTGATCGCGCGCAGGTGATTCGTCATCCGGGTCTGACTCATCGTCGTCCGTCGTTTCGTCTTCTGGACATAAAATTTTCGTTGGTTTCTCCCCAAACACAAGTCGTGTCTTTTTAAATATTTAGTCGTTTTTTTTTGCAGCAAAATCCATTTCTCAAGCCTGTTAGGCAGTATCCCTTTGGTTTTTTGACGAAGAGGTTTGATCACCGCCTGCGGGAATTTTTTACTTTTTAGCCCCTGGAAAACCATTACCATCTGATTCAGACTGTTCACTTTCCGCCGCTGACGACTCTTCAGAAGCCAAATCATCATCGTCATCATCATCTTCTTCATCCTCATCCTCCTCACCCTCGCTAGCATCAGGATCCGAGTCACCGTCCTAAACCTCATCAAATAAGGTATTTCGCGAGTAACCCACATCGTCGTAGCCGTCAGGAATCGAGTGTAAATCTAGTTCATACACTTCCGCGTCGAACCGCTTCATTATACCCGTCAGTTCACGCTAAAAATGGGTGCATATAGGCTGTCCGCCTTGAAAATTCGAGCTCTACCGTTCAGGAGGAGTGTCCGATTTTTGTCGTTTAGGTCTCTAGCGCAAGCTCTTGAAAAGGCGAAGAGATATGTTATAATTGGTCCTCCAAGTTTCGAGGTTTTTGCCAGATTTGTGGCACTCTTCATGCAAAATTACGCGTTTTTCTCCAAAAACTCAACTCAATTGGTAGGATTGTAAGCGTTTTGCGAAACGTACTGAATGTCTCATGCTTTTTTCGTTTGAATATCTTTATTTTTTTTAATGTAGAAAAACCATCGTACCTCTTCCATGCGTCTCACCCGACCCTCCCAAATCATCAAAATCATTTCATCGATCATGGTTGTGTCGGCAAGGTAGTGAATCTTGACGTGGGCTTTTTGGCCAAAGCGATGGGCACGGTCTTCGGCCTAAAAAATCATGTTCGTGAGAAGGCAGAGAAAGCGCAAGAGAAAAATATCGTGAGAAATGAAAAACTGGGGAAAAGGGGTGGTCGAAAAAGGAATTTTTTTTTTTTTTTTTTTTTCTTTCTTCATACCTGGAGGTGGAGTGCGACGGTGTAGTAGAGCTCGGGGAAGATGATGCGCTTCGCTTCCGGCAAATCTAGACCGAGGCTCGAAGCACGGAGGGAGAGGACCTGAAAGTAATATTTTTTCTCTTTACTTAAAGAGAAAACGACGGCATAAATGCTCGGTAATGCGGGGGAAAGAAAATGTCTCTACGCCTCGCCCCTGGACGCGTTCTCTGCCCTGTTGGCTACGTGCCAAAAAGTCGATCCAGGGTGATCGACCGATGCCGTCCGTATGTATCCCTTTAATTTCGAAGAGAAATCGAGAGAAGACTTCAGGTTACAAAAGAAAATACGAAGAAAGACAAACCGCCACGTTCATCTTTGGATTCGTTTTGAATTGCTGGAGGCGGTCTTCGAAGCGTGTAGTACCTGCTGGAATATCGAGCTCCACAAATGGAATTTTCTCGTCATCCAACTAAAATACTCTGGACGGTCAACGAGATAATGTTACCTGATCCTTGATAGCCTTTCGGACCGTTTTATGAAAGCCAAAGATCAGTGTCTACAAATTAAATGGGGTTATACGTGTAAAAAAGTGCGCAGAAACCTTTGGCTGATTCTGGCGGGGTGAAAAGAAGAGTTTCTGAACGTAGGGCGCCACGTACTGCGCCTTGGCCTTCACGCACAGGCGGTAATACTTGCCAAAAGCCTTCGTGGATTCGGTGAGCATCGCCGGGTCATCGTCGCTTTGCTACAGCCCGAAAATTGCCTGCGAAATGAAAGCCCCCACCAAGTAGGCCTGACGGCTGGATTCGGCTTCTGAAGCTGCCTCGAGAAGCTGCTCGCTTTTCGGGATGTTGATGTGGTGGAGGGTGCGGTGTTTTGGGGGAAGTCTCTAAAAGAATTTCGCATTTTCGTGCAGATGTATTCTAAATGCTTCCAAATGAATTAGAGGTATCGATCAGGATCACAAATTAGGCACCAACGCAAATTTTCAGCCAGATCCGCTGTCTGGTTTTCGAGATTAATTTTTTGGGGTCCGCATCTTCTGCGGCTATTTAAACCCCAAGAAATAGTGCACCCTACTAATTCGAAATGTTCTTTCAGATGGCATCAAAAAAAACGGCACCAAGCCAGTTAGGGGCTCTCGCAAACAACCTTTTAACCAGGCTACAGCTAAGCTTACAAGACTTTTTTTAGGCTTGCTTTCTGTGAAGGGCCTTTGGGCTTTGGCCTAGCTTAGCTTTTCCAAAAGCTTACTTGTTAGGGTCGAGTAATAAACAAACTTTGGAGCGTCCTGTAGTCAAAGTCCAGATTGCTACGCCCCGCCCCCTCCCCAAATGCACTAGTACCGCTCTCCTTATCTCTTTAAAATGCCTTACTGGTAGCCACAATTCCTTTGTTTGCCTAGAGCTGATCGCGTCGAGAATCCGCTTCGTTTGCCATGGGCACATCCATCTTCTTCCGTAAAAATCCACCTCGTACTCGATTCGAAGCCCACGCAGAATCATGTGAACCTGAAAAAAAAAGTTGTTTCTGAAATGGTTGTCACCTGGCTGATCAGGTCATTTGGAGAACGTTGCAGAGGGAAGGAAGAGATGCAGATTACCCGTTCGGCATTAGCCTGAAAAGAATGAATCCCTTGTAATAAGTAAGGTTTAGGGCGTACCACTAGATTTCGGGAATTTTTGGTACGACCGCTCTTCCAATTCTTCACATGCTGGCTTTCATCCTAAATAACATGAATGGCACTGGGCTGTTAGTGGGGGAACGCCTTTTCCTCCAGCGATCCCGTACAACCCTACAAAATACAAAGCTGCTTGATTAAATAAAACGCAGTTTGTAGAACTAAAAATCTTAAAGATTAAGGAAATTTTGGACAATTTTAGGATTTGAGGTAAAAAATTTAGCAAAATTATAAAAAAAGGCAATTTTAAAGTTTTAAGATGGCCCTCCCCGGCGAAGAGTCTCCTTTGTTCAAACAGCAAAAAACCCACGAAAATGATGGCTTGGGGGTCGAAGCGCAGGAATTCGCCGATCCGGGCGTTTAGGATGTTGTAGGTGCAAATTAGAACTAAAGAGTCAAATTTGAACTTTTTTTTAAACCCACCCAAGTCATGGCGGCTTCCTGGGAGCCTTTCGTCTTTCTTCCGAACCGTCACGCACTCCGCCAAGGGTAGGTAGTTTTTGACCAACTAAATCCATTATCTTTCATTTTTTAAAGGAAAACCTACAGTCGCCCATTTCTCCCGGGACTGGGGTGTGGTGACAATCAATAACGGGTAGTCATCGAAGAAGCTGAAACAAACCCGCCGTTTTCGTATGAATGTTGCACACAAAGATCGAAATGTGATCAGTTTCTTTCAAAATGTGGAAATTCATAATGCCGAGAATGCCAGGTGGTAATCTAGATATTCATTTTTGGCAAAATTTCATGACTTCGAAATTTCGTAAGTTAGAAATTCATAATCTCGAAATCATGATGTCAAAATTCAAAATGTCGAAGCCACATAACGTCAAAATTCAGAATGTCCAAGCTCATATTGTTGAAATTTCATTACGTCGAAATTTCATAATCTTGAAATTCATAAAATCGACATTCAATGTCGAAAAACAGAATGTCGAAATTCGCATAAACTAATTTCCTTGAAAAACTCCCTAACCCTATGCAAAAAATATCGACATTATGAATCCCGACATTATGATAGCAAATCAATGATCGGTGATTTTAACTTACCTCATTGTCGCCAGCGCCACCATCGATTTTCCGAGCCCGCCCTCGTCAAACAGCAAAAATCGGCCTCCGCCTCGGATGCAGTTCCTAGAAAAATCGAAATGGTGCTCTTCAAGGGGTCGAGGAGTCACGTCCATCCCATTTGGGTTGATTCTTGGCAAATCGCCAGACACGGGCGCAACGCTTCTCGTTAGGTCCGGTTTAGATGTGATAAAATGTCAATTCGCAAATTTCGATGCGATTTCTGGAGTCTAGGTACAGCTTTATTCATTCTAGTCTTCTTTAATTATTAAAATTGACCGGGATCTCACAGGGATTGATGATTTGGGTGGGTCGCAAGTTCGTAGGCATGAAGACGCGCACTACTAGCCCCAAAAACACTTCGTTTTGCTCGAATTTTTAGCGTTTGTTCGCAGCGATATCAATTTGATTGTACCATTAAGCAGTAGGCTTCGATCTTTTTGACCATTATTTTTGATCCAAGGCAGAAAATTAGGACCTCCAGTCCCCTTAAATTACGGTGAGAACCTACACGGTGGCTGCCTTCTGAGGATCCGATAAATCCTTGTAGACACATTCCTCTAGCAATCGGTGAAGATTGTCTTCCGTTGCCTAAATCCGTGTCAATTCTGTCGCGCTTTTTTCATGGTTAAAGTATCGATAATTCCTTACCAATTTGTTGTCGTCCTTCCGAGTGAAGACGCGAAGTATTCCGTCAGGCAACCTCTCCACCTCTGCTTGACCCTCCGCCTCAATTGGCCCAATCTAAAAACTCGCGTAAGATCGAGCAAAAAAAAAATACACCTTAAGTTGATCGAACAAGCGTTCATTGGCGGCTTCGTCGCCCGGAGCTAAAATTCTAGTTAATACCCAGGATTTTGCCAACTTCTCCAAGGTATCACGTCATCGTCGTCGGATCCAGTGGGATCGTTTTCGGCATCATCGTCTTCATCCTTTTCAATGTCGCGCAGAAGTCTTTCCATCGTATAGATTTCCATCCTTTCTGAAAGGGTACGTTGGAAAGACGGAGCTTGTGCCCTTGGGGCGGGGCAGTCCTCTGCTGGCGTGTGAGCTACGAGACGCTCCGCTTCAGCTGCCTGGTTTTAGCTTAAGCCTAGGTTTAACTTAGCTCCGTTTAACTTACTATGCTTAGCTTAAGCCGAGGCATCGGTTTGAACTGACGCTTAGCTTACCTTAGCTTTGAATTTTTCTAGAAGGCTAAAGAAGAGTTCAAAGCTTACAGCCAAGCTTAGTTTGGTTTCATCTAGGCCGATTCTGTGAAGCTAATTTCAGGCTGAAACTTGGCTTCGTTTTCAAAAGCTGAGGGTGGAAAAACGAACCTGGAGTGCCTTGTAGTGCCCTCCAGTGTTTGCACCCCCTCAAGTGCACCAGTGCCGAAAGGTCTAGTTTCTTATAAATTCGTACCTTCCAGCTTCCGGCTGGCTCGTCTATTGTTCCAAAGGCCTTGGGGCACAAAACCGGAGCATGTCGCAACTAAAACCTTGATATGACTAAAAAATGGAAACCAAGCACTCACCACATCCTTCCGAAATCCGCGGCGACGGCTGACTTTCAGCAGTGCCAATTTCTTTTTTTCGGCATTATGGTCTTGCTCATTTTGTGCATTAACCTCTTGCTCCCTGTCGTAACTGATCGTTCCTTCACTTTCCGCACAGGTGAGGTGCTTTCCCTCTGCCTCGACGATTTCTTGATTTTCTGCATTGACGCTCGCTTCATTAGCTTGAATATTCTCTTCATTTCCCGCATCCGTGACTTGCTCACTTCCGGCGACGATGATTTCTTCATTTTCGCAAATGATCGTTTCCGTACTTTCAGCACAGGTGAGGTGCTGTCCCGGGCCCTCGAAGATTTCTTCATTTTCGACATTGTCGATCTCGGCCTCCGGTTCAGGAGATGGTTCAGGGCTCCAAGGAGGCGACAAACCGTTCGGGTCAAAAGTACTAAAAATCCAGATAAATTTAGATTACCGGGGGGGAATAGCTTTTTCCATAGGAAATAGCCCTTTCTCCCCCCCCCCCTCTTCGATAATGTTTTTGATCAAAGCGCCTGATTGCAACCAGAATTTTCGGGTTTTAAAAATATTTAAAAATCGAAATATAGTGAAATTATAGTACAATGATACAAAATTTAACTTACTGTTGAGTACTCGGAATTTATGGACGACGCATAGGACTAGGAACCCCCCTCGATAATGCAAAAGAACCCATTTTCCCAATAAAAAGATCTGGAGTGGATTTACTAGCGCTAAACGCGCACCTTAAAAGACCTAAGCCTAAGCCGAAATCTAAGCCTGAGGCTAAGCCGAAGCCTAAGCCCAAGCCTAAAGCCTTTGAAAATTGGAAAAATAAAGAATTTTTGCTTTTTCGGTCAGTTTTTAAAGTTTTCCGAATAAATTATCCAGGTCGAATATATGAATCTTTTTAAACCATGAATAAGCAGGTTTTTACGTTTTTACTCTTTTTCGTTTTGTTTCCGTTTTACGGGTTTTGCAAAGGCGACAGATTAAGAATACGAATATGAATAAGAATGGGAAGAATTGGCTACCTGGCCGGCGGACTGTGACATTCCCGGGACGGGGCCTCCGATTCTTTATCACCGTCGGCCATCTCGCTAAAAGGAAAATAATGATTGGGAATTTACACTGCATTCCTCTGCTCAACCACCAATAAGCTGTTGCTTGACGAACGGCAGAAAAAACTCACTTTGATTTCCTTTTCCGGGGGTTTGGCTCTGCGTTTTCACCATCTTCGGAAAGTGGCTGGGAGGTCATGGTGATTGTAAAAAGTGTCCTCTATATTTCTATAATTTACATTTTCATAAATAACTAACACAAATATTGAAAATCGAAAGACTGATGTCAGAAAAAAAGGAAAGTTCAGGGTTTTTAAAGGAACTTAGAAGCGTCGAATTGTGCAAGTTTAAGGGGTTCTAAAAAATGTTGCGTGACTTTCTAACCTTTGTAATCTTATTTATAAAATTTACTGTGTACTAAGACTACGCTTTTCAGCTTTACGTAATTTTGCTTTACTTCGGAAACCTGGAGTCGGATGTATACGTCTAAAAGGCTATTTCCTCCCGGCAGCTCATGCTATTTCCGCCAATCCAGACATTTTTTTGACGTGTTCGAACATGTCGAGCACGAGTATGCAGAGGCAACACTCTATCGGCAGAGGAAAAGGGCTGCAATAAAGTGCATCCAGTGCCAGCTGGTGTTTTTTGGCAGTGAGGACCATGCGATGCTAGGCGCTCGGCCTCCCCCGCTGCGCCAATTTCACCCCGCTCCCCTAAAAAATCGCGTAAGCAAATTTTCCACTCACAAAAACCTGACTCTCGGGGATGAGTTTCGAAAATGGGCGCATAAGTGCTGTCGATCTTGGGGTACGGTGGGAAATAGACAAAGCGAGGGAAAGAAATAGAGGAGGGCAATAGATAGAGAGCGAGAGAGGGGGAGAGAGAGAGAGAGAGAGAGAGAGAGAGAGAGAGAGGGGAGAGAGGGAGTGTGTGTGGGGAGAGAGAGGGGGGAGAGAGAGAGAGAGAGAGAGAGTGCGAGAGAGCGAGAGAGAGAGAGAGCGAGAGACAGCTATGAAAGCGAGATCCCTTCAATTTTTTTAATCAAATTGGCTTAAAAATTAAGGGTTTTTCTCGAAAATCAGGGAAAAACAAGAATTTTTTCTAACAAAAACATTATGACCCCTTAAATGCCCTGGGGCGATAGACAAGTGTTCTCTCTGGGCGTTTTTTTTACTTGTATTAATAAAAGACAGAGGTTGCACCATTGACACGCTGACATCAGTATATTAAAATGTCTGAGCTGGGTCGCTCTCGGTGCCATTAGCAGGGGAGCAACACCTGTTTTATCTTAGTGCCCGGGTTTCGGCTTAACGATGAAATTTAGGGATACAGCTAAGGATATCAAACGATTTCTAGCCGTATTCCGCATAGAAATCTCTTTAGAAAAAGATTAGCAAATATTGGCAACAAACGTGAAAGTTATAGAAAAGTAGTAAACGTAAAAAACCAAAGGCTGTATAAATGTTCCCATGAATTTTCGGGTATCAAAAGCTACTAAAAAGCTTCAATACAGGACATTTTACCACCAAAGGCAAAACAAACAACTTGGTTTGGCCGGCTGTTAACTAGTAAATATGCAAATTTTAAGGTGCCTTTGACCCCCATTGAGCATAATTGCAGACAGTGCCGTAGTGGTCAGGTGTATTGTAATCTGATACCATGGGCGAACAGCTGGTGGCCAAGTTTTGCGCAACATGCTGCACCGTATGTCGGGTATCCCATAAAAAACCTCCTCTCCGCCTTTTGGCCGCCCGCTATCTGATCAGCTTCGAATTATTCCCAGCGATTGGTACCCGTAAAAACTATGCGCGGCCGAATTTTCTAGGCCGAATATAGTAGGATAGGAAAGTTAACGGTAAAAAAAACTGATTTTTGGGGAAAAGTTCGCACCGGTTTCTGACTATTTTTTCACAATTAGCCTGACGATTTTGAGTAATTTCCCGAGTTGTTCGATACGAAAAAGTAAAAAATGCCCGTTTTAGACGTGATGTCAGGGAGAAACAGTGGCCGCTTCATTTTTCGCTCAATCTTTCGAGATAGAAATCCGTCAAAATCTCAGTGAAAGCGGTAAAATGGGCCTGAATTTCCCAAGCAATTTTAGGCCCAAATTCCCGTCTTTCTCATCATTCGAAGAACGCACAGCATAGAAGGCGTAAGGAGTACTCCGTACGGTAGCGATTAGAGTAGCAGGCTGTAGCCCCCCACAAGGCAACGCGCCGCTCCTCTGCACAGAGGCCATCCGCGCGTTCTCTGCAGTCCCTTACGCACCAGGCTAGCGCTGGAAAATAAGCCTGATGATGAGCCAAAAAAGGGAAAAAACTTTATTGCCACGATTCGAACGGCACCGGGGAAATAAAACCACACCAGAAAAATTATAGGGAGGAGACTTGGCCTGAACAATGCACATGCACACACACAACATATCCAACACAGTTGGTACCCGTCGGGGGATGGATGTATACGTACGGAAATACGTACGAAACGTACCGGAAATACATACAATCAGAAGAATAAAAGGTTTCGATGTTTTTCACACTATGCTAGCAAGTTATCGACCCATCCCAGCACGTCCGAATCGAGCTTGGGGTAAGTTGGTAGAGGATGACGTAGGTGACAGCGGCCCAGGTCGTGCCTAAATTTTTATTTATTTAAAGAACTATAAATATAGTTTAATTTTACTATATGCGCAACTGAAATACCCGAAATAACTGAAATACTTATTTTTAAGTGACTTTTAAACCATGGAATTTACGGTGCTTTTGCATTATCGGGGAGGGGGGCAAAGGTAAACGGCGAAAGTGTTTCTAAGCTGTTATTTGCTCATCTTAAGGATAAAAACTTTACAAATTTTGCGGTAAAACATATCAAAAACATCGATTTTCCGACGAAAAATTGCCGATTTTCGACCAAAATTTTGAATAAACCCTTTATCAAATTATTTCATTGTTTTTCCAATTGAAATATAGTTACATTTTATAAAAAAGGATTGAAATACTTGTAATTAAACTAAAACGGATTTATGGCATTCTAGAAAAACGCATGTATTCTCCCTCCCCCCCCGATAATGCAAAAGAACCTAATTTCGTAATTTACTAATTTGAGCAACCTGTGGAAAATAAGAAATTCTATGACTGCTTTGTTTTTCTTGAATTTAATTCGTGGTACCTCATTGAAGTACGATTTACACCCTGAACGTACCGAACAAGTCGCCCATTCCCGTCAAAATCGGAATAGCGTGCAAGTCGGGGTCCATCTTGAATCTCCACATCGCGAACACGATCAGCTGACAACACCAGAGCAGGATCAGGATCTGAAATTTTTAGAATATTCGTTGTAAACCTATTTTTTGTTTGTTAACTATTTTGATAAGCCTTTCGCCTTTCGTTAGAATATATTTTTAATAATATTGTGTATACCTGGACAAACGCAGCGATAAGATATCCCAGCGTAAATTGCCAATTGATCATCGGCAACGGGTCGATGACGCCGGATTTGTGGAGGATGTACGAGACGAGGTACGTCAGGGAGACGAAGATTGCCTGAAGGTTTTGATATCATATTGCCAGAACATTTCAATTTGTCGAAACTTCAAAATTTCAACGGCAAAAATGCCGACTTTTATTATCTGAAAATCCATCATTAACTGCAACCGACTAGCCTGTTTAGCGACCGCGAAAGCGAAAAAAAAGAATACCGACCAAATTAGATGTCGAAAAGCCCGTTTTGTCGGAATGTAATGCCGACAAATCGAAATTGCGTCATAAATTTCGAAAAATATAATTTCGACGTCGTAATTTACGACAGTCTAAAAAAATCAATGCCTGAATTTTTAAGACGTTTCCTAGTTTTAGCCATCGTAACTGTTTCTTAAATGTTCAGTTTCGACCCACCTGGAATGGCACAGCCGTAGCAAGCAACAATCGAGCAGCGCCTGCATCGGTATCTGGAAGGTCCCGTTTAACCAGGCGGAAAGATGCCAGATACCTTTCGACAGATAGCATCTCCACGGGGAGAGGTAGTGCCACAGGGAGCGGCCTTCCGGAAGCTCACCCGGCTAAAATAAGTGTGTTTTAGGGATCGGCGAGGTAGTTTTATTGGCATTTACTTTATAGTTTTCCAGGGATTTATCGTCGGTTTTTAAATGCCCTTTAATTACCGTACCTTGTGATCCCGATATAGCAGCGAGGCGATTCGGGATGATTGGACGGCCACGCGGTTTCCGGCGATTCCGGCCATAAGCGGTTGGTAGAGGGACATTTCCGGGAACGAGTTGACGCAGATTTGGAGGATGAAGCCACCGCATCTGAAAAAAAATACGTTCATATTCAGTGTTTCGAAATCCCTATCCAAAGAGATACAAAGGAAGCTGCCGTAGCGGTTCTTTGGAATTATCGGGGGGGGGAATTGATTTTCCTACGCATCTACGACCGTTTCTACGCCCTATTTGCGCTATTCATGAACGTAAAAACGTTGCTATGGTTATTAAAAACACGAAAATATCGATTTTACGACCAACACTGGCCTAAAAATTTCAAAATGTCACATTTTTTAGCTTTCTAGAGATAGTTCATATGGAATAACTCAAATTTTCCTTAAAAAAATGGCACAAAATAAAATAATAAAATAATTTTTAGAAAAATTTATTAACTTTTGAGCTTAATAAACTAATTTAATTACTTCATTAACTTTTAATCTCCGTGAACCCTGCGACCTTCCAATACACCGATCCCCCATGATTCAGCACATTCCACCGGGGATCACCCTATGCCCCCAAAAATAGCTAATCTCGCCCCATTCAGCAGCTGCCGAGTGGGTGACGCGTTTCGTAGCCAGCCGGCCGAAATTCGGAGAAGTTGCCACGGGGCAACCGGTCTGGGTAAGCCGATTTTCAAAAGCAGAGGAGTGTGGGGCCCCTCTTGGAGATAAGGGTTCAAGGAGCCGCTGGTACCTCGTGGGACGTGCTGCTGACCTGGGCGCGTGTGGGTGCGGATTTCGGACCCAAATTGGGTTGGAAAGCTGCCAAATTACAGAAGAGTACACTAACTTAGCGCAATTTTGGCTAGAAACATCTCCTTTTAGCGAATGAAGAAGCTCCAGAAATTAGAAACGTTGACGAAAACTTCGAAAATTCGATGTTCTACTCTCGGATACGGGTTTTGGACCCGAAAACGCTTGAAAAATTGCCAAAATACCGTATGGCAAAAAAAATAAATCAGATTTAACCTAATTATAGATGCCTTTTTGCTTAAAATAACACGATTATAGCTTTTAGAAAGTTCGAGACGTTAGAAACGTTGCAAAAATCCCGCAAAACCACATTTTCAACTTATTACCACGTTTGATACGCTCAAAAACATACGCCGAGAACATGGCAGATCCAATCAAGGAGAACCACGACGTCTTCAGCATGGTTCTGCACTTCTCGTCTTGCAAGCATTTGTACATCCAGTACGGCCACGTGCACATGATCACGATGGCGAGCACGATCGACGGGATCATGCGCCAAGAGGAATCATTGCTGTACGGGATGAAGAGTAACGAGCCGTAGGCTACCTGAAAATTCCTCATAAAGGTATTTGCGCCCAAATTTAGCTTTTTCGAAGCTTTATTTTCGCGTGAAGGTATATTTCTTTAAGATTTCCACCCTTTAACAAAATCCCCTATCATTTTCTACCCCACAAATTATCACAAACGCTGCAAATTTCCGGCCTGCAAATGTCCCCACTAGCTTTTCGACTCCATAATCGGGTTTAGCGATTTGAAAAGCTTTCCTTTTGCTGATATGGGTTCAAGTGTCGCTTGGCGCATATCGTAGCGGAAGTGAAACGAACAAAGATCAGCAAGCGAGAAATTGTTGCACGGTTTGCCAGGTATAGCTCGCTAATTAAAAGTTATATAATCGTTAAAATTAGGATAAATTAGGTATTGAGAGATCGCAATTAATCTAGAGTACCAGACATACTTTTTTATAGGTAAAGAGAGTTAGTTTTTTTACTACAAATACTCATCGCCTTCTGTAGACTTTTGTATACCACCCCCATGAAGTTCAACTAGGCGCTAATACATCGTAATTAGTAACCTATGGTATCAGGGAATGTACTTTTATGGAAAAAGAAGTTCCTTTTTAATAGGATATTTATCGTTAGTTTTTGTTAACTGCCGAAAAAGACTCACCAGCAAGCACATGCACGCCAGATCGCCCATCGACGCGGCAATGGGGGCGGTGATGTTGTCGGGGTTCACGTTTTTGCGTCTAAAATCATCACTATCAATTGAATCTATCTTTTAAAACCTGGAAACAATAACCATGGTGGCCATGACGGTGTCCATCACGCCGCAAGACGTGCAGATTGTCATTAGGCCGGTGGCGATCATTAGCGGGATGTGCACGCCGATGGAATCCATCTGGAAAAGGAGGATTTGGCCTTGTTAAAACGATGGTCGTAGCTTTAATAAAACCGTTTTAGGTTTAGTTTAACATTATCTAACTTTTCCAACGTTTTAAAAGCCGAACTTCGTGCGGATTTGAAAATTACGAGACATTTTTTGTAAATTGCTGGTCCAAAAACGTAAATTCTTTGTTTTCCTTGTAAAAACTTAAAAATTCACGCATAGATTTTAAAAATCTAAGTTCTTAATTAGTTTTTAAGGGTTTTAATAAGTGTTTTACATTCCAATTAGCCGGTAACGTCGGCGGTAATCACCTATTCTCTTATCAAATTTGAAAAGTACTTGTAATTAAATAAAGCAGTATCAGTCCAATTTCATTTTTCAATTGAGAAACTACTTTTTTAGTCGTTTTAGATTAATTTTCGCCTAGTATGCTTTTTTGGTGTCCTCGTTGTTTCAGATGACGTTTTGTTTGCTCATTTTTGGGGGATTCCTTTCACTCTCACTCTCACTCTCTCCCTCTCCCTCTTTTTTTGGCTCTCCTTGGCTTCTCCTCCCCCTCATTTCGATGTTCAGCCAGCCAAAACGAGCTTTTCGATTTTGGCGACCGGATTCTGCCTAGGCTTGCCGGGGATTCATAAGCCACCCCCATCTGTCAGCCCACATGGCTGAGTGGTCTAGTGGTATGATTCTCGCTTAGGGTGCGAGAGGTCCCGGGTTCAATCCCCGGCTCAGCCCAGATTTTTGCTTTTTGAAAATTTTCGGTGCCGTTACAGTCCTATGTCGTTCATAGGCTTCTCCCGGCTTCTCGCCACCACCGGCTGAGTGGTCTAGTGGTATGATTCTCGCTTAGGGTGCGAGAGGTCCCGGGTTCAATCCCCGGCTCAGCCCAAATTTTTGCTTTTTGAAGATTTTCGATTCCGTCACATTCCTATGTCGTTCATAGGCTTCTCCCGGCTTCTCGCCACGACCGGCTGAGTGGTCTAGTGGTATGATTCTCGCTTAGGGTGCGAGAGGTCCCGGGTTCAATCCCCGGCTCAGCCCAGATTTTTGCCATTTTTGAAAATGGAACCTACAGAAGGTGCTCCAGCAACGCCGACTGCATTCTGAATAGCAGAGAGGGCCAAAGTAAGCGCGGTGGCAAAAAAGGAGATGACCATGGCTTGAGCCTAAAAATGGATAATTTTTAAGGTAGGTAAAGGTATCGCTTACCTGCACCAACATCATATTAATCGGTACTCGCTTCTTAATTCCATCCCACGTGTCAAGTTTTCCTTGGTGACTCTAAAAAGGTTAAAAATAAGGTATTTTGGTTAAGGTAGCAAGGCTTAAGGCGGAGATACCTTATCAAGGAGATTTTAAGTGTTAAGAAATTTGTAAGGCATCCCAACATACCATAGTTGCCAATCTCGATGCAAAAGTCATGTCCAAATTTCCCTTCAACCCCATAATCGGTGTGGATAGTGCGATCATTTGCGGGATTTTTCTGCAATAAATGCATCATTTAATGTAATAAATTATGCCCTAAACTTCTATTAATTAATATACTTTACTACTAATTAAATTAAAGTCTTTAAGCTATCTTTACTTACACAAAAAAGCGGAAACTGCTGTGCTTGATTCAGAGCAACACCGGCGCCAATAGATCCCAGACCTGCGATCAGAAAAGGTAGGGCGCTCTAAAAATATGTAAATAGGTATTGGGAGGTACATTAAATTAGTTGCTGCTTTTAAAACTTATTTACCTGGATCCAAATAGTCATAATTGTCTCCTTGGACATGACGTCTTTGATCGACTCGACAATGGAGCTGGCCCGGGATCGCAGCGATTTCAGCGAGTTTCGGCGGGAGCGGGTTTTCATCCATGTTCCTGCAAAAAAACTTGATTGCTGATTTAGTTTATTCAAAAAAAACTAAACCAGAAGCTCCTTCGTGCGGGGTTAAGTCCTTCTACAACATATTGTTTTGCAGGGTTAAAGCGACCTTGAAGCCAATCGAAGAAATGTAAATTTCAAAATCTCTTTTGGTTACCGTTAAAATTTAGGGTTTTGTCGGCTTGGTTATTGAAATTTTCGGTTTAAGCTTTTGAAAAGCCTACCTCGAATTATTATTTGTTTTACTTTTTCCCTTTTTGTCGCTCTCTCTCGCTCTTTCTCGCTGTCTCTCGCACGCTCTCTCTCTCTCTCTCTCTCTTCTCTCTCCTCTAGTTCTCTCTCAGATACTCGCTCCCCGTGCCTCACGCTGTGTCTCGTTCTATCGCTTTTGCTCCTTCCGACTCTCTCTCTTACGCTCATTCCCTCTGCCTCTCGCTCTCCTTCTCACTCTCACGGTCTGTCTCTCTAGCCCCCTACCGCTCTCGCTCTTTCTCTCTCTCTCTCTCTCTCTCTCTCTCTCTCTCTCTCTTCCTCTCTCTCTCGTTTAGTTTTAGTGTAATTTAGCAGTTTTTAAAGACCGTTGGAAAGATGGCCGGGCGTCCCCAGGGGTGAGGGACCGACGGGGCGAACCATGCACGCTTCCATCGCGAAGGGGCCCCAAAACCCCAACTGGATTGCAGAAAACTGGTTTATAGCCATAACTTTTTTGATTGACTATATTTTTGGCTGGAAACTTCCATAAAAATAGTTTATAGCCATCCCCATCGATGGTAAAAATTTGAGGCTGATTGGAAGGATGGCTGCCATGTTCTGAGCGAAAAGAGGTTTTGGGGCGTTCTTACTTGAAAAATCGTCGGAAAGGGCATAAAACACTTCAGGAAATTCAGGAAGACGCCCTTGCCCTTGGCAAGCTTCTGTAGGATTTTTCGTTATTATTATCTATAAATAGCTTTATTTTAAATTGTCGCCCAGTGACGTGCACGAGATGGACCCTAGGGTACTGAGGCCCCTCCGCCGCCCTCCCCACTCGACCCCTTGGTGTGGGGTAACGCGTTGGACTGCGGGGCGGACCATCCCTGGTTCGACCCCCGGCCGGTGCACATCGTCTTGCTTTTTGACCAATCCCATCTTTCCAGAGGCCTTTAATTAAATTTCTCCCATCCCAATCCTATCCCCGCTAAAGGTACTTTTCGGTCATTTTTGGTGTGTGTCCCCCTTTTTCAGACGGTCGTTGTGAGGTGCCAACTAATCCCCCGGTCTTAATTTCTTATCACAAGCTGTTGGCCGATCTGGTAGCGCCATCCGGGCGTTGGCCATTGTCCCCCCTCCCCTGGCCGCTTCGGCAACCCCTTTTTAAAGGTGATAGTGAACGGTAATGAGGAGGAGATGGCAGAAACTTTATGGGCTTCACGCTACCCGGCAGGGGCGATATTTTACGACCTGGGGCTCTGTCTAAATTACGGCCGGTAGACCGGATTTTAGGGGGGTCTAGTGGGGGTGATGATGCGGGGTCAAATTTCAAGATTATTGATAGAATTTTGCAGTAAATTGTAATGATCAAATATGGACACAATGAAGCATAATTAGGCTGTGTTTGGATTCAAAATATTCACAATTTTGCGATAAATCGTTATACTAAAATCATGTATGAAAATAAACGTAAATTAGGTTGACTTCGGGTTAAAACAATTGTTAAAAAGCAAGCGTACTTCAAAGTAACGAAAGAGCTTTTGCGTTAGCGGGGGGAGGGGGGGGTGGGGCGGAATTCTTCACGTAAGTCTAGGACATGTCTAGTAAAATAATAGTAAATACCTCAAAATCGGTTTTGGAAAATTTAACTATATGTCTAGTTGAAAACTATCTGAAGACCCTTAGAATATTTTGAAAAGTCCAAAACTAAAATCGAAAAATCGCTATTTGTTGATTTTTAAAGTAAAACTTATAACGTTTCGGTTTAGTTGAAATGATATACTTTGATGAAGGCAACCGAACTTCCTAGATTTTTATTCAAAAAATTCAATACCAAGTAAAAAGTTGGTCCCCTGATAATGCCAAAGAACCTAAAGAAAATTTGGATCAAATGATATTTTCAGTAATTTTTTCATTGCTAAAAGTGGTAAAAATAGCTTAAAAAATAGGACATTCATAAGCATTATTCTTGAAGTATATTTATTGCTGCCCGTACCAACCGAAAATCATGCAATACCGCCCGCTGAACCCAAAATTTTTGGCAAGCGGCTAAGCCCGTTCTTTACCGAGTTCTGGCAGCGAGGCAACCTCCGACCCAAAGGTATCCTCGGAACCTTTAGATTTATATATGTTTTATATAGATTTTATCGCATTTTAAATCGAGAGCTCCAAAATTACCTCTCCTGCTCAACGGCGGCGACTTCAAGCCGTCATCATCGAACGCGCCGTTCTCGTGGCCGTGGTCCTCGTGGTGTTTGATGTAGTGGTGCATCGGTGGGAGGCCATCGGCTAGAAGTAACGGTTTAAAGGGGACAAATCTACCATTTGGATTCACTACGTCTAGACAAGTGTTAAAAATCGACGCCTTTATCCACTAGGTCTCGTCAACTACCCGAAAATCCAAACTGCTCGTAAAAATTTGACACACGCACCAGTTTGAGGCTTTTTAAAGAGCTTAAAAATTAAATTTTATGTGGTATTTGGCGCTTCTAGTAGCAGTCGACACCTAGTCACGAGAGGGGTCCTTTGGAAATTGCCAATCCCTTTAAAGAGCTTTCCAAAGCCTACCTGCTAGGTGGATCTCGGGCAACTTGTCGTGAGCATCATCCTTCTCATTGTCATGTGGAGCTCCCCCGTTCGGGACAGTCATTGCTCAATGTTTCTGGGGGCCAAGTGTCGAGGGGTGTGCGCCTGGAAATTGGGAAAATTAAGAGAGTCTCGATAAATAGCTGATTGTATTTTGCAGGGAAAAACATAGGTAATGCGCGGAGCTTGAAATGGGTAGCGCCGCTCAAAGTAAGCTCAAAAATCTTTTAAAAATCGAGAGAGATAGAGGGATAGAGGAGGGAGAGAGAGAGAGAGAGAGAGAGAGAGAGAGAGAGATATAGAGAATGAGAGAGAGATAGAGAGATAGAAGAGGGAGAGCCAGAGAGGGAGAGAGAGCAAGAGACAGTGATGGATAGATAGAGAGCGAGAAATGCATCATTATCCTAAAATCTCCCAAAATCTCATATCCAGTAATAGGGACTGTAACTTGTATTACATCGTTGCTTTTTCGTCTGTTCTTTTTCTTTGCTTGCTTTTCGTTCGTTTTCTTCTTGTCAAACGCTTCGGGGAAAATACAGTGAATCAACGAGGCCAGTGCCAACATCGCCGCGATACAAATACACTAATTTCGATTTCAGTTCCGATTTCCGGAACTTTTTGGTCAGTTCAGGGAGCAATGCGCAAATAATGAACCATGCATCGTCACAGCACAGCACAAAATAGCATACACCATCGCGGACCAGCCGGGCTGGGGAAGGTAAATTGGCCATTAGCGGGTCCCGGAGCGAGGTTTTTCTGGTTTTAGAAAAACACAAAAATAGATTGGGGTTGTTCATTAAAACGGCATCAAATAGCAAGAATAGAAAAACAAATATTTTCTACTTATTATTATTAATGAGTTTGCAAAATTCTAGTTTACGCGAGGCCACGCAAGGCTACACAAATCTACGCCAAGCTAAGCCACGCTACGTAAGACTACGCAACGATACGGTAGTTTAGGCAGGACTACACAGGGCTACGGAACGCGACTAAATAACTAAACACTAGACAAATCTACGCAGTGCTACGCAAGGCAAGGTAAGACTATGTAAGGCTACGCAACGCTACGCAAAGGTACGCAAGGCTAAGCAAGACTACGAATCGCCACGGAACGATCGCCACGCTACCCAAGGTTGCCCAGGGCTACGCAACACTCCGTAGGACTAGGAAAACTATGCCATGATACGCTACTATGAAAAACGGGAAAAGGCTAAAAACGTAATTCAGAAACACACAAAGCCGGTGGGAATAAAGGTAGTAAAATCTCCGTAAGAGGCTAGAATCAATAAATAGAATAGAATCAATAGATATTTTTGAGCATATTAGGCTGTTCTAAAATTTAGACCATAACATATTTTGTATCGGAAATGACGCCAGATCTGCGGTCAAGGGGTTCAGACTCGCCAGAAGCCTGGCGACTTATCACCTCGACCCATCTCACAGCTGGTGCTGGCGGGCTTTATTTATTTGCCCTCACCTCGCCGGCCTCGCGACTTGTTAATTAATCTAATCACAAAGGTGAAGAGCCGAGGTGGGTGAAATAACAGGGTGATTTGGCCGTGAGTTGGCAAATGGCGGAATGGGCATAAAGTTGCCTCATTTGATGGGTCATTGAGGAATGCGAATTAGTAATTTCAAAGGGAAAATCCAGACAGCTAAGTTTAGCTTTGCTATTCCAATGTCAAAATTTCATAATGCCGAAATTTCATAATGTCAAAGTTTCATAATGTCGAATTTTGTAATGTCGAAATTCATGATGTCGAAATCTGAACACGTCGATTGTTTATAGGATCGGGGTTTTTTTGCGGAAGATTTGCTTAGACACGATACGACAGTATGGCATTTCGGCATTCTAAATTTCGACCTTACGAAATTTCGTCTTAATGAAGTTCGACATTATGATTTCCGATATTTGAAAGTAGCGCGTGAGGTGCTAGGAACTTTAAAGGCGCTTGGAAGTGCCAAAATCCGCCCCATCCGTTACTGGGTCTAGCCACTATGAATAAAATCAAAGTTTTAAAAATACGGGGAATTACCAGAATGGACTTCTTCGGTTGACTAGGCCTTGACACCCGGGAAAGCCGCCAAAAAACTCCAAATGTCTTTATCATCCATCGTCCAAACGCGACGATTCTAGTGTTTTCGAGCGTTGCGTAGCTGTCGAGACCTTGTCGTGGAAGATGTTTAACTTAGCGCTGGCAAAGCTTAATTTTAAAGCAAAAAATCGAAAGCTTATCGACATTATACGCCAGGAGCTACGTGTTTTGGAGTGTTTCGTAGCTGTAGGGATCTAGCTAATGGAGGGTGCCGATTTTAGCGTTTTCTGGCCACGTTAAGTAAGCACATTAATGACACCCTTATTTAATAAAAATATGAGAAGGGATTTGGGAACAAGGTGTCTAAAATTCAGTCAACCTTCGAAAAATCGCTTCCAGGCCCCAGAAAGGTTTTGAAATGGTCGCTGTCAGCTACGTACCCTAACAATAAGGACGTGTGGCCCCTGATCAAGGTCCGTTTTCGGGAATATTTGCTCTAGGAAGGTACTCTTTGTCAACGTTGTTAACCCGAATTGAATCAGATCGCTCCAGTTGCAAATATTGGACCTTCTTCAGCGGCGAATCGCCGAAAGATGGCCCCAATATGGACCCTCTGATGCGTCAGAAAGCACCGGAAGCGACAAAGAATCGGGGGAAGAATCCGTAATATTGCATTTTAATCGGGTGGATATTGTTTTTATCGGTTTTTAAACAGTTTGAAACGATCGTTACGCTTTGGGAAATACTACCTTGGGTCGAGAATATATTTTAAAGCAAAAAAAATAGCAATTAAAACGTTCGAGCAAACGTTTGGCCTTGAAAAGTAGGTTGTTGGTCGAAATTAAAATACGCTGTTTAAGCTCAAAACGAGGTCTGAAAAGCGTTATTTCCGGCTTAAAAAAAACAGAGAAGAACGTGAACTTTGCTTCTGTTAATTGCCCGGATTCTGGATTCGGAGGGAGACACTAATTGGAGGGGGGTGGAAAAAGATAGACCAGAAACATCCTGAGTTCAAAGTGTTGTCCCCCCTGAAAATTCCGAAAATGCGTTTCCTGAGATTTGGAGTACAAAATAGCGAATTTCTTGTGATTTTTGAGGTACCAATTGGAGCATCGCGTACGTCGCCACGCTGTTTATCCCAAAAATTCTAATGAATGGGCATCAGATCGGACAAGGCAAATTTCTCGACTTGCACTACGCCGCCCTGGCAACGCTGGTATAGAAGTTTCTGCACTATTTGGTACAGAATGGATTTTTAAGTGCAGACGGCAAGAAATGCTATCAATGTCTTAAGGGACCAGCACTAGATTCTCGAAAATCTCGAAAAAAATTTCTCGAAACTCAATTTTCAATGTCTTTAAAGGGCCGGCGAAGCCATATTCTGCAGATTTCGAAAATACAGCCTACAACCTTTTTTAACGGGGCCATTGAAGTGAAACGTTAGCAGATTGTTTTAAAATAAAGTTTTCCGCTTTCATATTCTAAAACGTCACTTAAACGGAGTTTTCGCAGCCAAAATCCCGTAAATTTTTGAATTTGCGATTTTTTAGCAATACTGCAGGAAGTTTTCAAGGCTAGAAAGCTACAATATACTCAAAATTCCGCGGCAATCTGAGAAGCGTTTTGAAGGTTTTTTAAAAAGTTATTGCCCTGGACTTAGGTTACAAATCCTGTTAAAATAAGCGTTCAAAATTTTCCCCAAAAACACGAAAATCCCCCTCCTGATGCTTGTTTTCCAGGGAGGCCGAAAACAGTAATCCCCGAGCGCTATTTTTAGCGGTCACTCCAGGTAAAGAAGCCCAACAATTCCCTCATAACACCCAAAATCCCAAATAGCCGTCGCGTGCCTCCGACTCCACCGAGCAACAAAAAACGGTATATTTGCCATTGTACGTGTTGGCGATTTTTTGGAGGGGTGATGGGTGGCGCGTCCAGGGGGACAAAGAAGAAGCCTCACCCCCTAGTGGCCTGTGAATTTATCGCCTTTTTGACGAGGGCTTCCGTGATTCGGGCGGGTCTTTTTGAGGGAGGAATGATAAAGGCATTAGGATTTTTGGGGGTCCGAAATTTTCGGATTTGGACCCCGGTGGACCCGACAGATTTTTTCGTGCGAGGCGCCAGATAACCAAAGGGTGGCCAGGCGTGTGCAGGACACCTCAAAGATCAAGTTCAGGCTAGCAAATGGGACCTGACGGTACAAATTTGGGGATTAAAGGGACTGGAAAGCTAATAAATCTACGGGTCAGGTTCATTTTTTACAAAACCACACAGAGTAGACCAAATTTAAATACGTCAGGCGTTATTAAAAATCTGTAAGGCCTGACTTTATCGTAACTTTGCAAAAATCCTCTATAACTTGTTTATTTTACATGATTTTGGCCTGTAATTAAAATGGTTAGTCAATTTTTTAATGTTCTATCGAATGGTGTAGCAAAAATCGCGACAAAATAATAAAATAAAATTTAAATTAAATTAATTAAAACTCACATAAAATTTTTGGAACTCCCGGCGGCGTAGGGGTAAAGCAAAGTTTAGCCTAAAATCTAGACGAAAATGAGCTGGTAGCGCCGCTTCTGCTATCAACGATAAAAAATTTTCGACAGTGGCCGATTTTAGGACAATTGAATCCTAGGTATCATATTCTCTCCGGGAAAATAATTTAGGAAAAATGGCCTGAAATTCAAATCGACATCGGAACCAGATGGGTATCGACAACTACGCACTACAACAAATGACGTTGGCAAACGTATAGAGTCAATAAACGGAAAATCCGTTGTCGTGTTTCCCTTCCACTTAAAGGGGCAAGGAAGCTGAAAGCACAGGTCGATGCATCCACCCGAAATCCACTCGGAATCCGGGGGGGCGGGGGATCGAGGGGAATTCCGCTAGCGGACGCGAGTGGATTCCACATGGAAATCGAGTAGATTCCGGGTGGAACGCATGGAAATCGAGTGGAAACCAAGGGGATCCACTCGGTTTCCACTCGATTTCCATTTGCCGCGACGCGTGGGGCCCGCGTTGCGTCATG